AACAGATCTGAAACTGAATATTACACCAGTGGGTGCACTAACGATTAAGTGTTATGTAGATAGTGACTGGGCAAATGATACAGAGGACAGAAAGTCCACGTCTGGTAATGCCATAATGTTTGGAAACACTTTAGTTGATTGGTCTGTAAAGAAACAAACATATATAGCCTTATCTACATGTGAATCTGAATTTGCATCACTTTCGCAACTATGTACAAGTCTAGTATGGATCAAACAATTGTTAACAGATCTAGGCATAGACCAAAAGGAACCAATAATTGTCTATGAGGACAATATGGCATGTATCAAATTAGCTAGCTCCGAAAAGGTGAAAACCAGGAGCAAACATGTGGACATTAGGTACCACAATGTTAGGCAAGCGGTACAAGAAGGAATAATTACGTTGAACTACTGTACAACAGAAGACAATCTGGCAGACATACTGACAAAGCCTCTGTCAGAACCTAAATTCAACAAAGGTATACAGATGATGGGTATGAAGTGCATATGATGTAATATGTATAATGTATATGCCTAACAGTATGTAAAATGTACACTGCATAAGTGAAATGTATCTGTACAGTATAACATAACCAAATGAAGGTCTGTATACATGCAAAATTGTACTGTAAACAATGTATATGTCAATCAGTACAAGTGTTATACAACTAGGAAGAGGCTCAGAAACTCAGAAACAAATGGGAGGAGTGTCGTGGTCTGTCCAAGCCTGCATTTGTTCCCTGAGCTTCTGGAAGCCTTCCTAGAGACCAGCTGCAGCTCACCACGGCTGCAGTCCATCAGAAATTATGTAAATAGGCGTCTCGGTCCTGTATATAAGGAAAAACGCCAGCACAGTTGGTGTGGGTTAGAATGGGTGTGTAGGAGTGCACGTCTGCTGCTATTTTCTTTATTTTGTTTAAAGTAAAGTGCCTCTGAAGAAGACTTGCTTTGCTTGTTGTGCTTCCTTTTGCTGGAACCTCTGCTGAAAAGGCATAACCCTTACATCCAAAACACAACAGTTTGCAAGGCAGGGAGCACTCGATCCTAAAGCTGTCTTTGATAAGATCCCATGGCTGCCTGGTAATTTGCAACCTGGAGTAGAAAGGTTGCAAATGAATACATCTTGCGGCCAAGAACATCTACAGTGTGGGGTCTTGACTTGAGAACTTAATCCGCATTGGAAGGCGGTTCTCAAGTCAAAAGGTTCTCAGGTCAAATCTGCATTTCCCATAGGAATGGATTGAAAACCATTTGATCCGTATCTGCTCTTTTCCGTCCATAGAAACTAATGGGGAGCTGCTATTCTGCCTTCGACCACTAGAGGGGGATATTTTGTTTCTTTTTTTCTTAGGTCAAGAAAGGTTCAGGGAAGGCAGGGAAAATACAGTCCAGGCAGTACAGTACCAGGCAGTCTGAAGACTGTCTCCCAATCCACTCTCTAAACGCTGGGAGGAGTGAGGAAGCAGACAGGCACCCTTTTCACTGGCCAACAGTTAACTGAAAGTTCAAATTTTGCACTTTCCCTGCCTCCCACGTGGTTTTTTTTCAGTTCTTAACTCAAATCTAAGTATGTAAGTCAAGTCAATATTTTCCTATGAGAGTGGTTCTTAAGTCAAAATGTTCTTAACTCGAGCCGTTCTTAAGTTAAGACCCCACTGTAGTTTTCTCCCTTCTCTGTTGGTTGGGGTGGGTTTGGCAGTCCCATCAGACCGTGATTGGTTAGACTGAACAATAATAGAGTTAGGTGTGGAATGCTTGATTAGAAAGGCGTCACTACTGTGAGTGCGGTAGTGCTTCTCAATCTTACACGTGTGTTCTTGGACCCATGTTTGCTGACAGGAGACATAGACCAAGATTCTTTGACGAGGTCCATTAGTGTCGGAATAAAGGCAAGACTTAACGGAGAAGATCGTTCCTGATTGATGTCACCGAAGACCAAATAGTCAGTTGGTGGAGGAGGTTGTTCAATGTCCGATTTTAATGACTTACCCATTCTAGACACCATTTGGACGTATGAAGAAAAATCCTCAGAAGGTGAGGATGGATGTAGATCAGCCGCATCTGAGTCTGGTGTTCTACCATCAATATGTCTTCAGCGGCATCCGAGAAGACTTCCTGGTCTTGAATATAATCTGAAGGTAAGCCAGAGTCATCTGGCAGTGAAGGTGAAGATGAAGGCGGTGGGTGTTTATCCTTATGGGTATGTTTGGTAATTACTTGTTTAGATGCCTGATGAGTTGGTGCCAATTTAGAGGTAGGTTGTGATGATGGATCAGGAGCATTGGAAATATGCAACCCTGATGAGGGTGTTTGGACCGAACCCTGGAACCATGAGTAGACTTGGTATGCTTGGTAACTAGTGGTTTGACATTGTGGATTTCTCAATGCTGACGCCTGGGCGACGAAGAAGAGGACGATGAAGAGGAGGCATATACATATCTAATCTTTTAATGTCGACCTCGCTCTTCAACGCCATAAGAATCATCGGTGTCGGAGTCCTCATCAACGTAGATGGTGGCTCCTTTTACGTTCTATTTGTATATATATATATATATATGATCGTCATAGGAGGACTTGTCCCAACGTCGAGAGGACGTAGGGAGAATAACGGCCTCTCGACATCAACGCAGTGATGTGTGTTTTGTTTCGGCAGTCTCTTTGCGGGGTGGAGATCCCGCAGCCGACGATCCCGATTGGGATAACTCTACTATTGTTGCCCGCCCGGTGGAAACAGGGCTTGACTGGGCAGAAGTCTGGCTAGAAATCATACGATCTTCTAGCCAACAGGGGCTTAGTGAACGAGTTGCCATAGGAGCCAACGCCTTAGCCTCTTGGAGGGGAAGACCTCCAGCCCCATCAGAAAAAGACACGCGGTCCCGAGAGGTGTCTTCCAAAATAGGTGAGGGAAGTGAAGCTGTCACCGGAGGAACGTCACAAGTTTTGTCCTCTTTATGCTGATGTTTGTGTTTCTTTTCTTTAACAAGGGTCTTTTTCTGTTTAGGATCATCGATCGACACCAACTTGATGTTAGGTGTCAACGCGGAAGCCAGGAGCTTTTTCAACGTTGAGGAGGAGGACTTTTTACAGGCTTCCCGTAGACTTCGAGGTAAGTGAGGGCGGAGAGGAGTGGACAGAACTTTCAGGTCTAGGCATCGAGAAAGGTGTTTGGCACAGTCTCTATAACAGAGGGCTTCAACCCCAAAAGGGTTTTATCCCAAAGAAATAGCTTGAGCCTTTGCTGTTGAGCTTTAATGGCAGCCTTAGTAAAGTTCTTACAATGCTTACAAGAGTGGGGTTGGTGAGTCTCCCCGAAACAAAAAAGGCAGCGATCGTGACCGTCAGAAAATGGCAATTTGCAGGTACACTACGCACACCTCCTAAAAGGACCCAAGGGGACATAAAGTGAAGAAAATTCCTTAGTAGTAATAACAATAACTCACATATAGCGTACAGAGGAAAATATAAGTCAACTGCAGTCGCGAATCATGGAGATATTCTGCCAAGTCCTAAACAGTCTGAGTTGGTAACAGATAGAAGAACAAAGATCCAAATCAGTAGCGAAAAGGATAAGCCAAGTAACAGTCCGAAATCTGAAGCCGATGTATATAATCCAAGAGAATAAGCAAACTAAGTCAAAAACAGTCTGTGATCAAAAGCCAAAGGAGACAAAAGTCCAGGGGAGAAAAAGGGTGGGAAATAAACGAATTGAAGATTTTCTCTTTTTTTCTTTTAAATCTGAAGAAAAGGGGCAACAAGATAAAACATTAGTAGAGGGGGGAAAAACAAAGATCTAAGCCGATAAAATCCAAACGAAATAGCTCTAGCGTGAGAGGTTCCTGACACGAAGGCGGCAAAAATGGAACTGAGGCTGGTAGTGGGCGGAGCATGCGCTATAGGGGCAACATTCAACTATTGCTCTTTTTTTTGAAGCTCTAGAATATTCTGAGGGATCAGGCGCAGTCGCGGACACAACCCATTTGTGTGCATTCACAGAGGCCACGACAAAGAAGAATTGGTTTACAGTGGAGCCCTGGGACTTTTGGGAGACAAGCTGGAAAAGTTTAATATCCAATACATCACAGCAGCAGCTGCCGCCGCCATAACCAGCCTATGTAGTAACATTATTTCATCCTGTATTTTTTCAAAACTGGCATTAAGATAGATAGTGGAGAATTGTCTTATTTTAAGTCAAAAGATCAATGTGCAAGAGCTATATCATATAATAAAAGTGTTCCTTATGGTTGAATATGCCCCCCATAGCAATTAATTTCATGCAAAGCAAAGATTGACGGTTGTTTTCTTTTACCTCACAAAGGAGCAAATCAATTATATGGAAGACCATGCAGAGTGGGAACTTGGCAGTGAAAAGAGTGAGAAACCACTGAGATGCGTACATATGAGCTTCCAGGTTCTGTTCCAAGAAATGATTGTATAAATCAGGCAACTGCTCCTAAAAAGTAAGGTGAAAGAGAAGGATTACTTAAACTTTTCTTCTTCTTATATTCATACAAGATTTATCCTATCCAGGATCCAAGCTTCCAAATGACAACATGCCAACATGTAGAGGATTACAGCCCTTGCTTCAGATTTGCTGAGGGAAGAAAAAGTTAAAGCCCCCAAACCACCGCACTTGGGAGGTGGTTTGGGGAGGTACATAAGGTCAGTACACTATATCTCTCTCTTTTAAACAAACAAAAGTAAATTTGCAGATTTGTGATGAATGCTTATCAAAATGTCGTGATTCTTTTACAACAAAAGCAAAATTTCCTCATCTGTACTCCTTGAGAGTCCCCTGGACTGCAAGGAGAACAAACCGATCCATTCTAAAGGAAATCAACCCTGAGTGCTCACTGGAAGGACAGATCCTGAAGCTAAGGCTCCAATACTTTGGCCATCTCATGAGAAGAGAAGACTCCCTGGAAAAGACGCTGATGTTGGGAAAGTGTGAAGGCAAGAGGAGAAGGGGACAACAGAGTATGGGATGGTTGGACAGTGTCATCGAAGCGACCAACATGAATTTGACACAACTCCGGGAGGCAGTGGAAGACAGGAGGGCCTGGCGTGCTCTGTTCCATGAGGTCACGAAGAGTCAGACACGACTAAACGACAACAACAACCTTAAATTTTTGTAGGACTTTGCAGTAATGCACATTTAATTTAGTTACAAGTTATATAGAACAAGGCAGCCAACACGTCAACATGTGGGTGGCCACACACTGGATCTGGTATTCTCCACTGAGCAGAGTGAGTGTGCTCCAATGGTGACTGACTTTATGTCTGTCCCCTTGTCATGGACAGATCACTACCTAATCAAATTCAACCTCACAGTGGCCCCCCCCCCCCCGCAGGGAGCAAGGACCTGTTGTTATGATCCGCCCTCAAAGGTTACTGGATCCTGTTGGATTCCAGGATACAATGAGAAGGATTCTGGCCGATCTGACTGGTGCTCCTGTCGAGGCTCTGGTGGATAGTTGGCTGGCTGACACCACCAGGGCTGGTGACACGATTGCACCTAAACGTCCTCTCCGGCGCAGAGATCACCCTTCGCCCTGGTTTAACCCAGAGCTGCGATTAATGAAGTGAAACAGAAGGATAGAGTGCATATGGAGGCGGAACCCGACGGAAAATAATCAAATAGCTGTCAGGATTGCGACTAAGCTCTAATAATCTAAGGTGAAGGCTGCTAATCAATCTTACTTTGCTGTCCGGATGAGCAAAGCTTCCAATCAGCAGGTGAAACTTTTCCGTATAGTTTGCAATCTTTCTGGAACTGGTCAAGGTGATTGGCCTCCCTCTAGCATCTCACCTGACCAATTTGCAGCCTTTTAAAAATCAAAAATGGAGGCCATCTGCCGGGATTTTGCCCATTTGGAAACAGTAGATTGAGCTGAGACGTCCAGCACTCCATCTTGCCCGATGAGACTTAACTACTTTCAGCCTGTGACATCAGATATGGTGGACAGAGTGCTTCACCACTGTCGTTCCACCCCCTCCTCCCTTGACCCTTGCCCAGCCTGGCTAATCAAAGCAGCCAGGCCTATAACATCTGAATGGGCTACAGCAATAATTAATGGGTCTCTCCAGGAGACACTAATTAGGCCCATTAGGAAGAAACCAAGCTTGGTGGTGGACTATATTGGTAAGTATAGGCCCACCGCCAATGTTTCTTTCCTTAGCAAGGTAGTTGAGAGGGTGGTGGCCGATCAGCTACAGGCTCTTCTGGATGAAACCAATGCCCTGGATCCATTCCAGTCAGGCTTCAGGTCACGTCATGGCACAGAAACAGCACTGGTCACCCTGTTTGATGACCTGCTGAGGGAGGCCAACAGGGGCAAAATGTCTCTGCTGGTCCTTCTAGATATCTCAGCCGCCTCTGATACCATCGACCACGGTATCCTCCTGGGAGGCTCTCCGAGCTTGGGATCAGTGGCCGGGCTTTGGCCTGGCTCCGTTCCTTCTTGGAGGACTGTCCCCAGGGAGTGCAGATTGGAGAGGGTTTCTCGGCCCCATGGAGCCTCAACTGTGGGGTCCCACAGGGCTCGATTATCTCTCCAATGCTGTTTAACAGCTATATGAGGCTGCTGGGAAGGGTCATCAGGGGATGTGGGGCTTCATGTCATCAGTACGCTGATGATACTCAGCTCTACATCTCCTTTTTTCCAACAACAGTGGATGCTGTCTGATCCCTTGAGCACTGCCTAGGGGCTGTTCAGCAATGGATGCAGGAGAACGGACTGAGGCTGAATTCAGGGCAAGACGGAGGTCCTTTGGGCGGGTGGGCCAGACATCTGTGGTCTGGGAAACTCCCTCTCTTTTGCGGGGTAACTCTTATCACCAAGAGTGAGGTTCGCAGCTTGGGTATACATCTGGACCCGGCGCTCACCATGGAGACCCAGGTGTCGTCAGTGGTCTGTTCCGCACACTTCCATCTTCGGCGGATTGCCCAGCTGCGTCCCTATCCTGATGTGGGGGTGCTCACCACTTTGGTCCATGGATTAAACATGAGCCACACTTTATTCCAATCTCAACATTGCTGCCAATCATTTGGCAAAGGAGGGTCCTGCCGTAGTGTGGATTCTTATTTCTAACTGGGGCTCTAAAATGACCTCTCAAAACAGCCAATGTGCTAAACCCTGGCCTCAGTTCTCCCCTTCTTGAAGACAGTGGGAAAACTACTGCCCCAAATTTGACCACCCCAGACCTCATGCCACTCTCTATGTGCTGACAGGTGGTCCGGGCATTTCCCCAGCACTCCCCCCCCCCCCAAACACTGTACTTGCACCATCCGCAGTGCTTGGAGTTCAGATGAGCTATAATTACCTGCTCCCACAATCTGACTTCCCACTTCGAATACCTGTTTAATCCGCACTAACCGCCAGTGTGACCAAAATTTCACCCCTAAAATGGCCACACTCCTATTCCAGTGTGGGATAGGCAAAAAAATCCCCACTCCAAGAGTCATTCAGGAGCCAGATCAAAAATTCCCATCTGGCCCCAAAGGCGACCAGATGAACTCATACTACAATATAGGGTGGGTGGGTGGGATGCGAGCAAGCAAGAGACCAACAATGATGGGTGAAAAGCCCTATATGACCTGCCGTAACCTCTCCCCTGAGGCTGCTCTCATGAGACAGCCTCTTGGTCACGTGTCCATCCGGGAAAACAGGGCAAAGGCATGCCGCATTGCTGAAGCCTCAGCTCAGCCACGGCATATTCATTTTAAGAAGTGTCTCAAAGCACTGCTTTCCAATGTACTTGTGCAAGATACACAAACTAGTTTCTGTAGAAAATGCAACTTCTTTGCAAAGTTTCCACAAAACTGCTGAAATGTGAAAAATGCAGAACTCAGTTTCTTAAACATTAGAATTGGAAACTTCTGATATTTTGTTCTTACAAGAATGAAATATGTGAAGATTTTTATTTCTGATATCTTATCAAGATAGATCACAATTCACCACCTACTAGTAGCAATCAGCTTTTCTTGTTCTCCTCAATGAGCCTACTATTTCTCAAAGGTAAAAATGAATGTATGGTATTGGTCCTACCTGAATAAGTTTTTCTAGCTGGTAAAATTTGCTGCAAAGATCTTCTAAGTTGTTTTTATAGAGGTCTCGCAGGCCGTAGTCATACATGATCTTCACCAGCACACAGAATGCTTGTTCCTCAGGCATCTACACAAGATCATTTAAATGAACAAAATGAGGCTGTCAACTGATTTCCCAAATATTTTGCCCTAGCTTTAGCACTAGCTGGCTCAATAGTTCAGTGAGTTGTGTACCTGGCTTCAGAAGTCAGGAATTCAATTCTCCATTTTTCCTCCCAGAAGACACAACCTATGTAGCCTTGGATCAGTTGCACAATTCCATGATGTCCACAGAAGAAGGAGGTGATAAACCACTTCTGAGTACCTTAAGTCAGAATTGACTTGATGGCACATGATCACCACCACCATCAGCATTAAAATGCAATTTGCTCTGAAGAGTATGACTAAATAGTGTACCAAAAAACCCACCGCCAAATAAGGTTTTCAGAATTCCTCTTGTAGAAATATAAGTTCACTTTTCATTTTGATAGGAACAAGTTCTAGATCAGCCTTCTCCAACCTATCACATTACAAATCTGTTGAACTACAATTTTCCTACTGGCAAACATGGCTGGGATATGGATGTTGTTGTCCAACAGATTTGGACTGTACTAGGCTGTAGAAGGCTACCGTACGCCACACATTCTACCCAATACATTTATCATTCTATTTCTATCATTACTGATATTATGGAAACTCATGTGGCTGATGATGCAATGTTTCCTACCTCATAATATGCAAATACATCTCAAAATGATGTATTTTATTTCTGAAAGTGGTCTCCAGATCCCAGTTTAAAGCTGAGATAATTACAAACCTGTCTGCCACTCCACTGCAAACTGCATTCCACAAATGACACTACAGATCACCTTTTCTGATTCAGAAAAATTCACCAATCTTCTGCACTGTTGAATTTAACCCAAACTTTTAAAATTCAGGATGTAATTTACAGAATGGTGTTGTTATAGCACAAACAGTTGATAAGGCTGGTTGTGTAGCCAGAAATTCAGATCCCAACAAGAGAAGGGCCAGCCTTTTTCACCCAAATTAGGTGTGGCTGATGGGTTTATGTGGTCGGCCACCTGCATGGACTTGGGAAAGTTACATGGTCCCAATGAACCAGAAGGAGTAAATAATGTTTGAATATTTTATACCCAGAAATCCTTACATGGGTCTCCATAAATTGGAAATTACTTGGCGGCATACAATTAATTCTAATTTGAAGAATACTTTAGATCTCCATAGGTAGAAAATGAGGGGAAGGGAACAAACCTCCAAAATGTGGAGCAAATCAAACCAAAAACCTTGCCTATGACCAAACAACCCAATCCTGCTATATGTATTTATTAGATTTTCTTGTGCTGCAATTGCTTTCTCCATGCCTTCCCTATTGGGAGGAAATTAGATATTCTCGTTGGACATTCCTTGCTGAACTCTCATTACTGCAGAGATCTAGCCGAACATACAGTCTTCCATGCCCAGGTCCTAAGAGACAATTCCCAAGTGACAATGTGAACATAAGCATGTATCAAAACAAGTGTTTCTAGAAAAAGAAAGCCAGTGGAACTGGACTGAGGCCTTTTCTGCATTAATGATTTGCACCTAAATAAAATGGCTTATAGGGAATTCATGCTCTCCCCACCCCACTCCTCTAGCCCAGATGAAAAGGTTATCATGATTAGAGCAGTGGCAGATGCTTAATTTAAGTCCTCAGACTATGGCCCACCTATAGAGCAAAGAGCAAAGGACAGGGGAGACAAATAAATGAAGAAAATCCTTGATTACTAATTTTATTCTGCAAAAAAGCAAACTACATCTGGTCTAACATATGGTGTCAAGTAAAAGTGACTACAAGGAAATTAATACTAGAAATATTTGACAAATGATAACTACACTCTTTTTAATGATTTGACTCCTTAAGTTAGAACACAAATTTTCATATACTCACGTGTAACAAGAGAACTGCAGCAAGAAAGGAATGACCCTGACAGTAACCAATTTCTTCATCATAGACTGAATATGCCTGGAATATAAAGGCAATTCTGATTACAAACAGGTAGTATTTATTTATTATTTATTTAACTTATATGGCGCCCACACTACCCAAAGGTCTCTGGGCAGCTTACAACAATTAGAATACAATAAAAAGATAAGACAATTAATATACAAATAAACATATACTCTAAAAATTGCCATCAGGATCCACAGTTGATATTATTTCAATAAAAAGCCTTCTGGAAGAGGAAGGGTTTGACCTGGCGCCGAAATGTCATAAACGTCGGTGCCAGTCGAATTTCAGTCAGGAGGGCATTCCATAGTCTGGGGGCAGCTGCCGAAAAGGCCCTTTGTCTACAAGCCATCCCTCTTATCTCCTCGAGGGGTGGCTCTTTCAAAAGGGCCCCCTGGCTAGATTTTAACTGTCGGGTAGGCTCATATGGAAGGAGGCGGTCCTTCAGGTATCCAGGCCCCAAGCCATTTAGGGCTTTATATGTCAAAACAAGCACTTTGAATTGGGCCCGGGCAGCAACTGGTAGCCAATGTAATTTAAACAGAATCGGCTTGATGTGTTCCCTACTATATTACTAAATCCCTTAGTCGGATGACAGTATAGATGGTACACAAGTCTTTGATTTGTCTTTTGTGAGCACTGCCACTCCCACTCCCCAGCACATAACTTGCTTTTGAAATTCAGAAGAAGCTGGATGCCATTTTCTAGATAGCATGGAACTTGTTTTAAGAAAAACCAGAAATCCCACAGTGTCCACCTCCAGCAACTCTTTGCATTGTGGCTCTTCCAGTCTATTTGAAGACATTTAAAAGCACAATTCTTTGTCACAAATCATTGCTTGATGCTTAATGCCACCCACGTCATCTTGGAACACTTTGAGCAGATTTTCTTAAAAAAACATGGCCAATGGAAAGCTGATATGACACATCATACCATGCAAACCACATTAAAACTATAACACTTATTAAACTTTATACATCACACTGACAAAATAGGATATACATATATTGGGGAAAACCTCTATGCCAAAGAATAGCTCATTCAGCATAACCTGTGGGAAATATGGGCAAGAAAGTCACTGCTGGGCTCTAATGTGCCTGGCATTATCCACTATTTCTGTTACAACTGAGTCATATTCACACCCACCCACAAACTGAACAAAATGGTAATACGTTTGGATTCAACCTCATCCAACTGCCAACATTTGAAATTTTGAGACTATAAGGTGTTAAAAAACAATCAAATGTGAAAAAAATGCCCTGAAAATGAAAGGCTATTTAAAAGTACAGCTTAGGAATCAGTTCACATGATGATGATGGTGATAATGATGATGATGCCGCATTTCTCCCAACAAGGGACCCAAAGCAGCTCACAACATTAAAAAATTCACACAATTTAAAAATACAATAAGTTAAATATTAAAAAATAAATTAAACAATATATGATTTAAAAATTAAATTTAAAGTTTAAAAGATGGAAAAGATTAACTGCTAAAAGCCTGCCTGAAGAGATGGGTCTTTAGCTTTTTTCGGAAGGATAACAGGGAATGGGCTATCCTGATCTCCTGAAGGAGAGCGTTCCATAGCTTGGGAGCTGCTGCAGAGAAGGCCCTCTCCCATGTCCCCATCAGCTGTGCTTGTACCGGCAATGGGACCGCGAGGAGGGGCTCTGCTGATATTAATCACCAAGAAGGCGCAGATAGGGAGATACGGTCCTTCAGGTAGCCTGGACCCAAGCTATATAGGACTTTATAGGTAATGACCAGCAGTTTGAATTGGGCTCAGAAATGGACTGGTAGCAAGTGCCGTTCTTGTAACAGGAGCGTTATATGCTCCCTGTAGCTGGCCCCAGTCAATAGTCTGGCTGCAGAGTTTTGCCCCAGCTGAAGTTTCTGAACTATCTTCAAAGGCAGCCCCACACAGAGCATGTTACACTAATCTGAATGGGATGTAACTAAGGCATGTGCACTGTAGCCAGTTCTGACATCTCAAGGAACGGGCGCAGCTGGCACACCGGCTTTAGCTGTGCAAATGCACTCCTCGCCACTACTGAGACCTGGGCATCCAAGCTTAGGCATGAATCCAGGAGTACACGCCAGACACAGACCTGAGTTTTCAGGGGGAGTGTAACCCCATCCAGCACAGGTAGTATCCCTATTTCCTCATCTTCCTTCTGACTAACCAGGAGCCCCTCTGTCTTGTCTGGATTAAGTTTCAGTTTGTTTGCCCTCATCTAGCCCATTACTGATTCCAAGCACTGGTTTACACTTAATACAGCTTCCCTGGAATTAGATGAAAAGGAGAGATAGAGCTGGGTGTCATCCGCATACAGACCGGCTTTAGCTGTGCAAATGCACTCCTCGCCACTACTGAGACCTGGGCATCCAAGCTTAGGGATGAATCCAGGAGTACACGCCAGACACAGACCTGAGTTTTCAGGGGGAGTGTAACCCCATCCAGCACAGGTAGTATCCCTATTTCCTCATCTACCTTCTGACTAACCAGGAGCACCTCTGTCTTGTCTGGATTAAGTTTCAGTTTGTTTGCCCTCATCTAGCCCATTACTGATTCCAAGCACTGGTTTAGACTTAATACAGCTTCCCTGGAATTAGATGAAAAGGAGAGATAGAGCTGGGTGTCATCCGCATACAGATGACAACAAACCCCAAAACTCTGGACAACCTCTCCCAGCAGTTTCACATAGCTGTTAAAAAGCATGGGGGACAAAGGAGAACCCTGAGGGATACCACAGGCCAATGGCCAGGGCATTGAGCGGGAGTCACCCAGCACCACCTTCTGGGTTCTCTCCTCCAGGAAGGACTGGAGCCACTGTAAAACATTGCCTCCGAGTCCCATCCCAGAGAGACGGCCTAGAAGGATACCATGGTCAACGGTATCAAAAGCCACTGAGAGATCCAGCAGAACCAACAGGGACACACTCCCCCTGTCCAGTTCCCAGTGTAGGTCATCCACCAAGGTGACCAAAGCTATCTCATTCCCATAGCCAGGCCTGAAACCAGATTGAAATGGGTCTAGATAATCCACTTCCTCCAGGAATCCCTGGAGCTGAGAAACCACCATACGTTCCAGTACCTTGCCCAGGAATGGGATGTTTGAGACCGGCCAGTAGTTATCCAATACACTGGGATCCAGGGAGGGCTTCTTCAGCAGCAGTCTTATTACTGCTTCCTTTTAGTAAGCAGGGATCCTACCCTGCTGCAAGGAGGCATTTACCACTCCCCATACCCAATTGGCCATTCCATCTCTGGCTGCTTTTATGAGCCAGGAAGGGCAAGGGTCCAGCACACATATGGTAGCATTCACCTCTCCAAGAATCCTGTCCACATCATCAGGCTGCACCAACTCAAAAATAACCATTAGGGGCCAAAGTTATATCCACTGGGTCTGTATCAATCACTGCATCCCAGTCAGAGCGAATCTGAGCAACTTTATCTGCAAAGTATCATGCAAATTCCTCACAACGGGTTGTGGAGTGGTCAATATTTTGTTCTTATGGTGGGGCATGTACTAAGCCCCTGACCACCAGAAACAGCTCTACTGGACAACTTTGTGCAGATGCAACAGCAGCAGCAAAGAACCTTTTCTTTGCTGCAGCCACTGCCACGGAATAGGCCTTCAAATGGGCTCTAGCCCATGTTTGGTTGGATTCACTCTGAGTTTTCCGCCATTGTAACTCTAGTCTCCATCCCACTTTTTTTATCACTGCCAGCTCCCTGGTGAACCACAGGGCTTGCTTGGCTCTATTTCGTGGGAGAGGACGCTTAGGAGCGATTGTGTCCACCGCCCTGGCCATTTCCCCATTCCAGAGATCAGCCAGAGCTTCAACAGGATCGCCTGCCAAGGCAACAGGAAACTCCCCAAGAGCCGACAGAATACCACTTGGATCCATCAGTCTCCTGGGATGGACCATCCTAATAGGTCCTCCACCCCTGCAGAGATTAAGAGTTCCAGTAAGTCTAAACCTTGCCAGGTAGTGATCTGACCATGACAACAGAACTACAGAGAGCTCCTCCATGCCCAGATCACCATCATCCTGCCCAGCATGAAAAACAAGGTCCAGAGTGTGTCCTGCTATATGTGTGGGGCCAGAAACCACTTGGGACAAACCCATGGTTGTCATGGGGGACATGAAATCCTGACCTGCTCCTAATAAGTTGGCCTCAGCATGAACGTTGAAGTCCCCCAGTACTATCAGCCTAGAGGACTACAACATCACCACTGATACCAACTCAGTCAGCTCAGGAAGGAAGACTGTTGAGCAGCAGGGTGGATGGTACATCAACAGAATCCCTATTTTGTCCCAGGCACCCACCTTTAAATATACAAACTCGAACCCAGAAAACCGTGGGACAAGGCATCTGGTGAGGGGGATGGAATCACGATAGGCGACTGCAACTCCACCTCCCCGCCCCGTCCCCCCAGGTCTGGCCTGCTGCTCCATAGAGAACCCAGGTGGGCAAAGCTGGGAGAGACTAACTCCCCCAGCGTCATCCAGTCAGGTCTCTGTAATACAGGCCAGGTCAGCATGCTCCTCCAGGATCAATTAATCCCAGAATTAATATCAGATGTTGCCAAAGGCCTCTCGGAACACTTCGGTCTTCAACAATTTTCTAAAGGGCCATGGGAAGGGGACTTGCCGGATCTCTAGTGGACTTTTATTCCTTAAAGAGGGTGCCACAGCTGAAAATGCCTGATTTCTGGTAATGGTAAACATTGACAATGAATGCAAACAAGCCTCACAGATTCTTCAGCCAAGAAGCTATTCTCCTTCTGACATTCCTTTTCCAATGATTTTATGTTGAACTATTAGCTGTAATGCTAGGGACGTGGTGGTGCTGCGGGTTAAACCGCAAAGCCTCTGGGCTGCAAGGTCATAAGATCAGCAGTTCGAATCCACATGACAGAGTGAGCTCCCATTGCTTGTCCCAGCTCCTGCCAACCTAGCAGTTTGAAAGCATGTAAAAATGTGAGTAGACAAATAGGTACCACCTCAGTGGGAAGGTAACGGCGTTCCCTGTCTAGTCGCACTGGCCACGTGCGGAAACTGTCTACGGACAAACTCTGGCTCTACAGCTTGGAAACGGGGATGAGCACCGCTTCCTAGAGTCGGACATGACTGGACAATTTGTCAAGGGGAACCTGAACCTTTACCTTTACCTATTAAGCTGTAATAATCTGTTCATTTCATCATTTTCTCATTATGACTTTTTGGTGTTCAGCCACTCACTTTAGTACTTCTTCAGTGGTCACTATCTCAATCCAGTAAATTGTTGGCATCCACATTTCAAATATTGCTGTCTTGTCTGCAGTTGCCTGTGTTGTTGTTGTTTAGTCGTTAAGTCGTGTCCGACTCTTTGTGACAATATATCACACTGTACAACATAAGACTCCCAAAGCAAAATTGCAGTTTTTTGTTACGTATTACAAACTTCATTTTAAAGACAATTTCCTGGGCCATGTCTGTTCTGCTTTTTATTGTGTGGCTATAATATAACTTCTTATCCACACACACACCCATGTTTTCCATACACATTAAATACAAATCTGGCCATACCTTACAGATCTTATATAGAGATTCCTGTCCGTCTCCTCCAGTATCTTTAAAATATTCATGTCCTGGGAATGTACGATGAATGTCTCGTGTAATTACACTCTCTTGGGAAGATTCCTATGAAAAGGTGGAGAAAATTAACATTCAAACTATACATAAAATAATAAAAGTAATACACTATCATCAGCATGGAAATATACCACCAGTTTTCCGAACGATGGGACCTAGATTAGCATCCTATTTGTAGCAAATAATTAGCCATTTAACAGGATATTAGCAATAATTGCTTCTTACATTCATAAAATAAAATACATAGTTTGGCTGTACATAACATATCTTGCAATAAGTTGCTTTATGTGAATTACTGAGTCAAACTAGTGGTTTAAACGCTTCTCTTTCCTCTTATATGCTGAAGCAATTTCTGCACCAACTTGTCGTCTAATTGTTTAGTCGTGTCCGACTCTTCATGACCCCATGGACCAGAGCATGCCAGGCCCTCCTATCTTCCACTGCCTCCTGTAGTTGTGTCAAATTCATGTTGGTTGCTTCGAAGATACTGTCCAACCATCTCATCCTCTGTCGTCCCCTTCTCTTCTTGCCATCACACTTTCCTAACATCAAGGTCTTTTCCAAGGAGTCTTCTCTTCTCATAAGATGGCCAAAGTATTGGAGCCTCAGCTTCAGGATCTGCCCTTCCAGTGAGCACTCAGGGTTGATTTCCTTTAGAATTGATAGCTTTATTCTCCTTGCAGTCCAGGGGACTCTCAAGAGCCTCCTCCAGAACCACAGTTGAAAAGCATCAATTTTTCGGCAGTCAGCCTTCTTTATGGTCCAGCTCTCACTTCCATACATCACTACAGGAAAAGCCATAGCTTTGACTATTCGGACTTTTGTTGGCAAGGTGATGTCTCTGCTTTTTAAGATGATGTCAAGGTTTGTCATCGCTTTCCTCCCAAGAAGCAGGCGTCTTTTAATTTTGTGGCTGCTGTCTCCATCTGCAGTGATCAGGGAGCCCAAGAAAGTAAAATCTGTCACTGCCTCCATATCTTCCCTTTCTATTTCCCAGGAGGTGATGGGACCAATGGCCATGATCTTAGTTTTTTTGATGTTGTTTCAGACCGTTTTTTGCACTCTCCTCTTTCACCCTCATTACAAGGTTC